TACTCAGTTCTCTCCCTCCATAGCACCCTGACTGATTCCCACTGCCCTCATGCCTCACAGCCTTGGAAGCGAGGGTGTAAGACATTCTTTCGTGTCTTACTTAAAGGTATTTCCCAGTTCAGGCAGTTCAGGAGCAGAACATCCCTTTATTTTTTTATTTTTTTTAATTTTTAAAAAAATTTTTGGTCTTTTTGAGACAGGGTCTCCCAGTAGCCCCAGCTGTCCTGGAACTCACTATGTAGACCAGGCTGGCCTTGAACTCACAGAGATCTGCCACCACGCCCAGCTTGAATATCCCTTTATTAAGGCCCCCATTTACATGTTAAATCATGGATTTCCCCTTTATGTTAAAGATTGGGCTGAGGGGTGCCTTTTTTCACGTCTACCTTGTTCTCCCTCTTTCCTGATTGTTCCCATGAATTCCAAATTTTTGGGTCTCGGGGGGCTTTAGCCCAAATCTAATGTGAAGGTAGCATCTTCATGCCCTTTGCACATTGGAATGCCTCCGTATGGGGCAGGTTCTTTCTGGGCAGATATCTGAGCCTCAGTCACATGTTTTACTCAAGGCAAAGGCCACACAGCAGCCACAACCTGCTTACAATCCTGTCCCATAAATACTTTCAGGGATCACAATATAATTAGCCCATCTGCAGTTTTGTACTTACGTGGTACACTCCACTCATCCACCTCCTATCACCTAGAAGAAGACATCCATATTGGGGTTCCCCCCACTTCATCAGCAGAGCAGCCTTTTTGTCTGTCTTATCACCATAGCAGGGGCAATGCGGCCACTCCCACAGTAAGAAGAGGTGCTGTTCCATACCATGTAGAAGGATGGCCCTATCAGCATGCCCTGATGTATGCTGCACCCTTAGATGACCCAGCTTCAGCTGTCTTATCACCCGGAGCAGGGGCAGTGCACCTGCTCCTCCCAAACACGTCTTTCGTTCTGTTCTGGTGGCAAGTGTTGTGTGACTTTTCCTGGGGAGATGTGAACTAATGTGTGTCTGCCAAGGATAGGCCATCAGTGACAAACCAAAGAAACAGTTCCACTCCAGTCTAGCTTCCTGAGCCAGTGAGTTTGACTGTGGTTACTTAGAGAAACACAGTGAAGGGTTTATTTACATGTTTACACATGGATCGCATGTAACTTTGGCTACATAGCCTGGGTGTATGCTTAGCTGTGTTGTCACTGTTACTGGTTTTTGGAGACAGGATCTCACTGTGTAGCCCATTGTGGCTCCAAATTCACCATCCTGTCTAAACATTCCCAGTGCTGAGACTGCATCTGACATTTGAAAGGTTTGAAGTCTTCAGAAGTCATACAAGGAATGGCTGCATGTCCTTCACCCAGATCCAGTGACCTTTGCTTTAGTTTTCTCTTTTTCTCAGTATAAGTTGAATAAATTGACAATAACTTGAAGAAAACATGACTGTTTCACAACTGTATCGTATCCTTGGTTTTGCTTTCTGTGACTTCAGTTATTTGTGGCTCTCCACATCTTAAATATTATTAAATATAATGAAAAGATAGTTTGAGAAAGAGAGAAGGGATCACATAACTTGTCTCCTATGGCTATATTTTATTTCAGTTTTAATTGTCAGTATCTTAATGTGTCTAAGCTATAAATAAATTATATTATAGGTATGCATGTATATATAGGAAAAGCTAGAGTTCAGTATTCTGTGGCTCGAGACGTTCATGCCCCTTCTGGAGTGAAGGCTATTTGAGCACCATCACCTGCCAGTCAGTGCTGCTCCCAGTGGCATCAGTTGGTTGGCACTTGTAACTTGCCATGAACAGGTGCAAAATAGGTGCCATGGCCAAAGGAAGCTCCCAGGTCAATGCAGAAGTTAGCATCTGGAACCCGGGTCAGCGTACACTGCTGTGGTAAGAGCTAAAGGAACAGCACACAGAGGGCTGTAGGGAGTGCTGGGCTACCCCGAACCTGGAGCTTGAAGCACGAGTGTTGGTGTTCTCAATTCTCCAGGAAGTGCAATTTCAGGAAGCAGGAGTGAGAGAAAGGAGATTAAGTCAGCTCAGAAGTACATTTCCTGGTTGACCACTCCTCTTTAACAGCTATGGCTGACTGTGAAATCTCCTGAAAGTGTTTCCCAGGAGGATGTATAAAGTACTGTCACAGGGTATTCCATCCAGTGGAAGGAAGAACAAGAATTTACTCCTACCTTTAGCTTCTTTTATTGGAGAAAGGGTTGCCATGGTACATTAACTCCCCCAGACTTTGAGGTAGTCATGGCGAAGGTTTCATATGCTCTTATACTACAAAGGCAAGAGGGCACCCAAGGGTGGGAAGTGGAGGCATGCGGTGTGTGCAGGATGTGAAGGGCGGCAGGACTGTGCCATGCACTGCAATCAGACCACGACAGCTGCGATGGAGAAAATGGCAAGGCCAGAAGCATTTGAGGTGCTGCAAGAGACATGCCTGGTATATTCGGGCTCTGCCTTTAACAAATGTGCACCTCTTGCCCCCCTAAACAGTCACGTGGAGAAAAGTATTCTGCAGTCTCTTAGTGGTGGGATCCAGTCAAATTTCACTTTTTGGTAGCTTTTGTCTTTTCTTTTTTTGAAGTTTTTACTAATTTTTTAAGGTTAATGCTCTAGCTCATTTCTGTTTCTGTGACAAAATACCCTGATAAAAGCAGCTTAGGGGAGAAAGCTCCCAGTTCCAGGTTACAGTCCTTCATTGTGGGGAAGTCAAGGCAATGGGAACTTGAAGCAGCTGGTCACATGACATTGACAGTCAAGACCAGAGAGAAGTGAGTTCGTGCATACTAACGCTCAGCTGGCTTCCTCTACACTTACATAGTCCAGGGCCCCAAACCAGGGAATGGTGCCCCCATCTTCAGGTTGGGTCTTCCTACAGACACCCACAGGCAAACCTGATACAGACAATCCCTAATTGAGACTCTTCCCAGGTTGTGCCCAGTTGACAAATCTAACCAGTTATCACAGTAACTCCCATAGTATTTGACTTGTTTAAAGTTTTATACAATGAAGATACTTATTTTGAGAGAAGTCTTAATATGTAACCCTCAATCTTACAGCAGTCTTCCAACATCTGTCTCTAAAGTACTGGGATTATGTAGGTGTGTGCCTTGTCTAGATAAAGTACTTTAATTTGGAGGAGGGATAGTGGTTGGTGGTCAAGGTAGCTTTCACCAAATTTTCAGATGCTCTTTTACATTTTCCAGCCTTCACTGCAATTAAGTTGGGGCTGTGTACAAGACAGGTTCATTCCAGTAATGCTGTGAATAGAAGTGAGCTGTACTCCTCTGGGCTGGAGCAGCTGTGCCCTTGAGGCCACATGTATGTTAGTTGACACAGTGATAGGATAGACAAGGCCACTACCCTGCATCAGACCTAGCATGACTAACATACAACTCGTATTTATTATTTTTAATTTTTTAATTTTATGTGTATGTGTGTATTGCCTGCATGTAGGTAAGTGTACCCGTGTTGTGCAGTGCCCGCGGAGGTCAGAAGAGGCTGTCAGATCCCCTGGGACTGGAGTTATGGACAGCTGTTAGCTGCCATGTGGGTGCTGGGATTTGAACCTGGGTCTTCTGCAAGAACAACCAGTGTTCTTAACCGCTGAGCCATTTCTCCAGCCCCCTAACATACAACTCTTATTGTGTTAAGCTGGCCTCCCTCTCTTTCCTTTATTATAGTGAATGTTCGTGCGTGTGTGTGTGTGTGTGTGTGTGTGTGTGTATTTACCATCTTACATCTTAACCGTTTGTAACCGTTCACTGGCATTAATTAATTTACAAAATTTGTGACTTTATCTGTAACATGACCTCATGGGTGCTCATTTTAGGCTTTGTGAGTACACTGTCCAACAACCTTTTTTAAAACAAGGTTTATTTATTTTATGTTGTATGCATGTAAGTGCACTATGTGTGTGTAATGCCTATGGAGGCCAGAGGAGGGCAACAGATCCTCTAGAACTGGAGTTATAGATGGTTGTAAGCTGCCATGTGGGTGCTAGGAAATGAACTTGGGTCCTCTGCAAGAGTAGCCAGTGCTCTTAACTGCTGATCCATGTCCTGGAGCTTGCCATGTAGACCAGGTTTGCCTCAACCTCACAATGATCCACCAGCCTCTGTTTCCCCAGTGCTGGGATTAAAGGTGTGTGCCATCATGTCTGGTCCTCCCCACCGCCCCCACCCCCTTTTAAACATGGGGACTCACTATGTAGCCCTGGCTAGTCTAGAGCCCAATATGTAGGCCAGGCTGCCCCTGAACTCAGAGATCCACCAGCCTCTATCTCTGAGTGCCAGGACTAAAGGTGGCATAAGCCTGCAATCCCAGTACTTGGGAGGCAGAGGCCAGAGTATCACCATAAGTTTAAGGCTGGCCTGATGTACATAGTGAATTTTAGGCCATCCAGGGCTAGAGTGAGACCCTGCCTCAAACAAACAGACAGACAAACAAACAAACAGCCTCTTAATCCCTTCAGCTTTATTAGGTGTATAGTGATGATTTTGTTGTTTTGAGATGTCTCTGTATTGCCTCTGCTGGACTCTTAGCTCCTGGGCCCCAGTGATCCTTCTGACCCAGCCTCCTAAGCAGTCAAGACTATAGGCATTTGCTGTATCACTACAGTGTAATGACTTGATATACATACACATTCTGAGACAGCGCAGGTCAGCTGTCATCTCTCACCTAATATAGCTACTCATGTAGGTGGTAGTAAGTGACTTTTCCCATAGCAGGAATTTTGTGGTACTGATATTTCTCAGTTATACATGTAACATGCTCAGTGTAAAAATTCACCTTTGCTAGCACCTCCACAGTAGCACAGATGTTAACTGGAAGCTGGAAACAGTCCTGGGTTGTCAGTGTCTTGGCAGACCACAGCTAACCACAGAGGGACTTTGTCCTTTATAGATAAGTGCTTGATCTGATTTATCACAGACGCTTACCTTGTACCTTTAGCATTATTTGAGATTTTTAAAAAAACGTTTGTTTTAAACAGAGTCAACATGTCTGGGGCTGAAGAAGCAATCCATGGAGGCTGTGACAGCCACCCTTCGGCTGGCGGCAAGTCTGTGCTGTGCTTTGGACAGGTAACTGGTCCCTTCATCCCCACAGCGTGAGGTTAAGTGCAGAAGGTTAGCATGGATACATACTGTTGTACGTGTGTGAGCTTCCCATTGTGCATCATTTCAGGGGCAGTACTGAGGACTGAACCCAGGGCTTCGTGCCTGCCAGGCAAGCACTCTGTCCCTAAGCTACATCCCTAGCATGGTGTAGTATTTTGTCTTTTTGTTTTGCTTCAAGGTCTTTATTAACTAAGTGTATTTGGAGACTTTGGCACCAAATAAAAACAAATGGTATGAACCAGCAAGTTGGCTCAGCAGGTAAAGGTGCCTGCCACCAAGCTGATGACCTGATGTGGTGAAGGGAGAGAACAGTTCTACAGGTTATCCTCTGATGTCCACATGTACATCGTGACATGTATGTGCTTGCACACAGATGCAAAATAAATAAATAAATTTGCAACACCTGTCGCAGTAATCATTTTAAAAAGAAAAGGGATTATATCTAGATGTAAATTTATGTATCCATGTGGAATGTTATCATATTCATCTGATGTATAGTTCAAAGTGAAATAGAGTGCATTTGAAAAGTCTGCTGCTTTCCCTGTCGATCCTGTGCTGCTGCCATGTCTGTTTTTGGAGACACTGGAGTTGCTGGGGTCACTGCCTCTGTAGAGATAGTCTGTGCATAGAAAGAAAAATATTGCTTTGTTGACCCCAAGTCAGTTAGAGCTTTGTTAGGCTTTACCTTATTAAAGCACGGCAAGGGCACAAATCCCAAGAGAACCATGTTTTCATTCCTGTGGGATGGAGTTGCTCAGCTGGAGAAGGTGCTGGATCTCTGGAGAACACAGAAGCAGACAAAACTTCTGGTCTCCTTACCTTTCCCCTATTCCCTTCCCTGCGTGAGTGTGATATACTCTGAGGTAGGAAGCATCGTTTTGAACTTAGCTCGAGAGGGCTGGAGCTACTGCTCAGGTGTAGAGCGTGCCTGGCCAGTGTGAGGCCTTGGCCCTAGCAGGTCAAAACCAAAACCTAATTTAGCTTGAGAAAAAAAAATTTTTTTTTTTGGTCTTTTTGAGACAGGGTCTCCTTGTAGCCCCAGCTGACCTAGAACTCACTATGTAGACCAGGCTGGCCTTGAACTCACAGAGGTCGGCCTGCCTCTGCCTTCTGAGTGCTGGGATTAAAGGCGTGCACCACCATGCCAGGCTAAGAAGAGAAAAATTTTTTAAAATTGGCAGCAACTGCTAATTCAGTGGTTCTGGAACTGGCTCTAGGACCCTTTCAGAGACCTTTTCAGAGTTCAGTAGGCCAAAAAGATTTCTACACTAAGGTATTGTTAGGTGCTTTTACTCATTCTCTTGTGACTGGTTGGTTTTCTCCCCAGGCTCAACATCAGATGGTACCATGCTCTTACAAGTGAAATATGCACCTCCAACATTTATTGTTTGAGGGTTTTTTTTTTTTTTTGAGACAGGGTCTCTTTGTAGCCCCAGCTGGCCTGGAACTCACTATGTAGACCAGGCTGGCTTCCACCTCACAGAGATCTGATGACCTCTTGTGGGCTGGGATTAAAGGCTATGCCACCATGCCCAGGAATTCTTTGATATGTTTGGATCAAATCCACTTTCTATTCCCTCCTCTCCAACTTTTCCCTTATCCTCCACCACTTTTCCCTCCCAACTTCATGGGCTCTCTCTCTTTTTAAAAAAATATTCTATTATTTTGATTTTTTATTTTATGTGTATGTGTGTATTGCTTGCATGTAGGTAAGTGCACCTATGTCGTGCAATGCCCGCGGAGGTCAGAAGAGGCTGTCAGATCCTCTGGGACTGGAATTACAGACAGTTGTTAGCTGCCATGTGGGTGCTGGGATTCGAACCCAGGTCTTCTGCAAGAATAGTCAATGTTCTTAACCACTGAGCCATCTCTCCAGCACCTCTCTCTCTTTTTTTTAAGCCCACCAAATCCACTTAGTGCTGCCAGTATGTGTAGGGCCTTCATTGTGTGTTGTTAACTTCTAATATTGGCAAGTTGACCCCACCTCAACTAAAAAGTTCTATGGTCTTCAGTATTTTTTTTTTTTAATTTTTATTTGTGTGTGTGTGTGTGTGTGCCCATGGAGGCCAAAAGAGGCCTGGAGCTGGAGTTATAGGCATTTGTGAGCCTCTTTGGGTACTGGCAAACAAACTCAGGTCCTCTGAAAGAACAGCAAGCACACTTAAATCCACTGAACCACCTTTCTAGTCTCTGTCCTCAATACTTTTTAACACAGTTAAAAAAATTTTTTTATTATAATTTTTTATTTTATGTGTATGAGTGTATTGTCTGAATATGTGTAAGTAAACTCATGTCATGCAGTGCCCGCAGAGGTCAGAAGAGGGTGTCGGATCCCATGGAACTGGAGTTATGGACAGTTTTTAGCTGCCATGTGGACACTGGGAATCGAACCTGGGTCCTCTACAAGAGCACTTAGAGCTGAACCAACTCTCCAACGCCTTTAATGCAGTTTGTAATGAGCATATAAAGATTATACTCATTTATGTGGTACCATGTGATGCTTTGATACACGTACCCTCGGTGTACTAATTTTTGCCCTGTGCTAAGGATAGAGCCTAGAGCCTCATGCTTGCTAGGTGAGTGCGCCACTGCTGCCCATCTACACTCCAGCCTACTTCATAAGAGTGGAAAGAGGTACTGAGTCTCAAAGTCAGAGGCAGACTCACTGATGGGGGACAGCATAAATGCTAATTTCATTTTCCCTTTTGGATTGTAGAACCAGTACACGGCAGAAGAGTACCAGGCTATCCAGAAGGCACTGAGGCAGAGGCTGGGCCCAGAGTACATTAGCAGCCGCATATCCGGAGGGGGCCAGAAGGTAGGCTGAGTCTAGACTAGAGATTGGACACCTGACCAGCAGGTGACATAGAAGATCCTGTCAACCCTTTTTGGATTTACATGGACTCCATGGATTCAGAAGGTCTTGTCCCTGTTACTGGATGCTTGCTAGTGCTTCTGGGCGGGGTGGCTTCCAGCCCTCCTTGTCATCTGAAGTGGCCAAGCCTTGTCTTGAGATCTGTGTAACTGCCATGTTGGGACTTTTGCATTGTTTTTTTGTTTCGTTTTGTTTTTTGGCCTTCCATAAAGTCAGCCCTGCATTTCTGAGCTCTTCTGAGGCTAGTTCCTTCTCAAAGACAGATTCTAATTGGCTTTTTACAAAAAGATCTTTAGAACATCTTCATTGAGAATTCCCATGGAATTGCACAGTTTTGCCGAAAAGCACATAAGTTATACACTAATTTTTATTCACATTTAAGTATGCCAAAGACATTTGAACAGCTTCTTAAACATTTTTTACTTTTCTAGGTGTCTTACATTGAAGGTCACCGGGTCATTAGTCTGGCCAATGAGATGTTCGGCTATAATGGCTGGGCACACTCCATCACCCAGCAGAATGTGGGTGAGTGTGCTTCCTGCTTATCCTGACTGCATAGCATCCTTGACTTTGTACCATTTTACTTGAGCTTAGAGAATTTGGTGGGTCAGGATCCAAGGTAGGTGGATTTGACTGCCAGCAGAAGGAAAATGGGTGAGGCACAGCGATCAGTATCTTTCCAACTGGTTCTCTTTCCCGTTCCTAGATTTTGTTGACCTCAACAATGGCAAGTTCTACGTGGGAGTCTGTGCATTTGTAAGGGTGCAGTTGAAGGTGAGGGTGATGGAGGACTGCTGCTGCCTGGGAGAGCTGTGTAGACAGTGAGCCAAGGAGGGAGTGTAGGCCTGGGGTGGCCTCAGCAAGGGAGCCTAGGATGGTGGGTTCAAACATTCTTACTCACGTGTCCCCCAGAGAAAGGGGTGTGTATGTGTGTTTTACTCAGTTCAAGTTGATCCATAAAGGTTTCACCACATAAATACATTATTGCAAAGGTATGTTTTTTGGCATTTGACAATCTAAAGTCTTTTTAAAAAAAAGTTATTTTAGAGCCAGATGTGGTGACACATGGCAGCCTGGTCAAGTTCCAGGCCAGGTGGGGTTACAGGGAGACCCTGACTCAAAAAACAAGCAGACAGACAAGACAGTTATTTTAGTGATGGCACACACCTTTAATCCCAGCACTCCTGAAGCAGAGGCAGGTGGATCTCTGTGAGATTGAGGCCAGCCTGTTCTTCATAGTTCTAGGCCAGCTGGGGCTACTGGGAGATACTGTCTCAAAAAGAAAGTTACTTTATTTTAATTGTGTGTGTGTCTGTGTGTACACATGTGCACATGCACATTTGAGTGTAGGTTCAGAGGCCAGAGGCATTAGATCCTTCTGGAGTTGGAATTATAGGTGGTTGTGAGCCATCCAATCTGGTTGTTGGGAACTGAACTTGGGTCCTCTGCAAGAACAGCAAGCGCTTTTAACCACTAAGCCATTTCTCCAACCCCTGTCAAAATCTTTTTTATCAGGTAACAATAGAGTCTAACAGGATTACATGCCATCATTTATTTAAAGAAAACAAACTGAACGAGTCATATCCTACCCTCCCACCTCCACTTTAAACCGTCTCATGGTATAGGTCAAGCTGCCGGAAGCTTAGTTCGTCTGCCTTGGCCTCCCAAGTACTGAGATGATGGGCAGGTGCCTCCACTGTCCACACTAGTTGTTTTAGTTTTATTCTTATTCGTGTGTTTATGTGTGCATGTGTGTAAAGGTCTCACTATAGAACCTTAGGCTGGGCTCAAACTAGAATCCTCATGCCTCTGCCTTCTGTCTTCAGTTTTCTGGAGTCTGCTACCGTGTCCTGCTAAGCCATGCTTTTATAGAAATCGAAATTTCACATTGCTCTGTTTAGATCTGAACTCATATTTCCACTGCTTTTATCCTAATGTGTTGACATATGATTGACAGCATCACCAACAACCTTCTTTACCACTTCTGTGTGCATCTGGGCAGACTGTATGGAAAAATGTTTTTTGCTAAATTTATATTTACCTTAAAGATTTCATCCAGGCATAGTGGTGCACACCTGTAGTCCCAGCACTCAGAAGGCTGAGGCAGGAGAATTGCTATAAGTTCAAGAATTGTTGTACTTGGGCTACATAGTAACAAGACCCTGTCTTAAATAAAATAAAATGTGGGGGTTGGAGAGACGGCTCAGCTGTTAGGAGCACTGACTGCTCTTGCAGAGGACCTAGGTTTGATTCCCAGCACCCACATGGTGGCTACGAACTGTCCTTAACTACAGTTCCAGGGGAATCCAAAGCCCTCTTCTGACCTCCGTGGCATTGCACAACACGGGTGCACTCACATACATGCAGGCAATACACTCGTACACATAATAGTAAAATAAATAAATAAATAAAATGTGCAAACTTTGGATTGAGTTATTATTCATGTACAGTTCAGTTTATGTTGAAGAGCAACATGCATTTTTAATAAAAATAAAAAACAGACTTCCATGGAAAAACAAGTTTTTGAGGGGTTGCTGGGCACAGAACCCAGGCCTTTGTACACGCTAAGCAAACACTGTGCTATTGAGCTATACAGTAGCTCTGAGAATTACCTACTTTTGTATGTGCATTCATCATTAATTCTATTCTGACTTCTTGTTTTTATGAGTTGTTCTGGAAATCCTTGTTCATACGTTAGTAGCTGCCATAGAAAATGTTTATCGTGGTATCACTCATTTCTCCGTGTACTTTTGGAGTTATTTCCCTAAAAAGCACAGAATACAATCACTAAGTATTTTGTATATGATTTCCTATCAGCTAATAATCATGTAAAAACCAAGAAATGAATACCACCTGATACTTATTTGTTTTAGTTTTTTGGAGACAGGGTCTCCCTAGGGCCCTACCTGGACTGGAACTCAGTATATAGACCAGGCTAGCCTTGATCTCACAGAGATCCACCTGCCTCTGCCTCCCAAGTGCTAGGATTAAAGAAGTCCACCACCGTGCCTGGCCATTTATTTTTATTTTATGTTTATCAGTGTTTTGCCTGCTTGTGTGTAAGTGCACCTCTGTTGTACACTTCCCATGGAGGCCAGAAGAGTGCGTTGGATGCTGAAGAACTGGAGTTATGGATGGTTGTTAGCTCCCATATGGGCACTGAGAACTGAACCTGGGTTTTCTTCAAGAGCAGCCAGTGCTCTTAACACCGAGCCATCTCTCCAGGCCTAAATAGTACTTGATATTTAAAAACAACCAAAAAGGCAGGGTGGGATGGTGTGGGTTTGCTGGAGAGGTGACTCAGTGGTTCAGAGCATTTGCAGCCACATGGGGTGGCTCAAAACTGCTTGTAACTCCAGTTCCAGGGACTCTGATACCCTCTTGTGGCCTTTTTGGGCACCCACACACACATAGCATATACTCACAGACATAGACACACACATACATAAAAATAAATCTTAAAAAAAGATTTGCATTGCCAGGTGCTGTGGTGCACACCTTTAATCCCAGCATTTGGGACTTAGAGGCATGCAGATCTTAGAGATCTAAGCTGCCCTGGTCTACATAGGGAGTTCTAGGCCAGCTGGGCTACAGAGGCACCCTGTCTCAAAACCCCCCACAAGATTTGCTATGTAATCACAGGCCATTAGATATAAAATTTCAAGCTTAGCCCTGTTTGGTGTGCTAGAGACTTTTTTTTATACCTCAGGGTGAGGTACCTTAAGAAATGCTGGAACAGCTTAGAAATTAGCTTCTTGTGAAGTCAGCTTGGGAAGGAGAAATGGTTTTGGCAACTTGACCACAGGTACAGTTTCCGGAAAGCAGTTCTAGAATTGCTGTCTTACATCAAGGCCGAGATTCCACATGCCCCAAGTTTCTTGTTTTTGTTTTTTTTTGAATGCTGCTGCTTAGGGAAGAGGCTGGGCAGGACAGACAGAACTGGTTGCAGCTTTTTGTGTTGGCGTGCCAACTCGTTTTCCACCCCCAGGATGGGTCCTATCATGAAGATGTGGGCTATGGAGTCAGCGAGGGCCTCAAGTCAAAGGCCTTATCCCTGGAGAAGGCCAGGAAGGAGGCTGTGACAGATGGGCTCAAACGGGCACTCAGGTAAGCAGGACTGGTGTCCACCGCCTTGTTTCGGCTCTGATTTCAGAGCAGGAGACACATTGACTTGGGTCAGACATCTAAGTAACATGGGACACTCTTGTCTCCTCTCCCCAGTCCCCTCTGCGTTCTCTTAGTTTCGTTTATGTTTCCCAGTAAATGGTTGAATGCACAGACTACAGTATTTTCAATTTTGTGTCCCCTCTCCCTCCCAGGTGTCTGAGGCTTTTCACATGGTTACTCTGTTAGTCATCTCTCAGTAACTATAGCAAATACCCAAATTCATCAGCTCACAGATTTCTTTTGGCTCAGGGCTTTAGTGGGTTTAGTCCAGGATTGATTGGCCTTAATGCTTTGGGCAAGGCAAGCAGCACATCATGGTGGGGAAGCAAGAGAAAGGAGTGACTACTTACTGTCTCATGGTCCCCAGGAGCACACCCTTAGGGGTGTAAACCTCCCACTGGGCCCCAGATTCTAGATGACATCACTTCCTTGCCAATACTCCAGGGCTCCAGCCTATGATAAGAAGATTTGTGAATGGCTTCTTAGTCTTCCTTGAGGGATCCAGTGCAGTGGCGGGACAGTGTTCAATCAGCACTGACTGGCTGTGGGTTAGGGCCGGTGTCCTCTGCTGCAGCTGAGAAGCAGCTTGTGTGAAGCTGTGACTGTCCTCTGTTTCCTGTTACGTGTTACAACTGTGAACCTGTTTCTTTTGTTTCCCTTAGGTGTTTTGGGAATGCACTTGGAAACTGTATTCTGGACAAAGACTATCTGAGGTCCCTAAATAAGCTTCCACGCCAGGTATGTTAGAAATGGAGGAGCAGAATGGGAGCACTTTGAGGATGCAGCATGGCATGCCCTTTCTCCAGTGTCATCGTTGCTGATTTCTTACTGGAAGGAACAGTGAGGACTCAGCTGTTCGCAGCGTCTGGAATGATTATTTCAGATTCTTTTGATTTTTTTTTTTTTTTTTTTGAGACAGGCCCTTCACTCAGTAGCCCTGGCTGGCTTAAAATGTGCTACGTGGACCAGGCTGGCCTTGAACTTAAAGATCCACCTGCCTCTGCCTCCCAAGTACTGGTCATTCACAGCTTTTGGCTCTCACACTCTTCCGCTCCTTCTTCTGCAGTGACCCCTGACCTTGGGAGGCAGAGGTTTGATAAGTGTCCTATTTAGGGATAAGCACTCTGCAGTTTCTTATTCTCTGCACGTTGACCAATTGTGGGTCTCTGGGTTAAGTCACCATCTGCTGTATGAGGAATCTGTGGTGAGATCTGAGAGATGTATTCATCTATGGTTTTATCAGTGAGTCATTAGGAGTCAGTTTAAAACCATGCCTATTTAGCAGAATAATAGTAGTAGGCTTTCCCCTGTGGCCTGTGACTTGTCTGGCCACAGGTTCCTAGACCTGATATCAGCAACAGAACTCCACACCTATTTTGTGTCTGCATGCCAGTATTCTGTGTATGTAGGCCATACATTTCTGTCTGTCCGCCAGTGGCTGTTTGGGTTGTTCACCTCTTGGCTGTTATGGATATTGCTGCTGTGAATATAGATGTGTAAATGCCCTTGAAATGCAGCTTTCACTTGTGATAGCCCCAGAAGTGCAGTTGCTGCATTATGTGTACTTCTGTTTTAGATTTTTTGAGAAATGTCCATGCTGATTTCCATAGTATGCCCCATTTTACAGTCCTCCTGACAGTGACGAGAGTCCTTATCACTCCATGTCCGTACAGTTTTCTTCCATACTACATAGAGCCATCCTAGTATGTGGACAGTGCTATTTTATTGTGGTTTTGGGTCATACATCCCTGTTGATTAGTGGTATTGAATGTGTTTTCATAAGCTTGTTGGATGTTTGGAGATCATCTTTGAAAGTATTCATGTCCTTTGCCATTTTTTAAAAAATTTTATTTAATTTTATGTGTATGTATGTATTGCCTGCATGTAGGTAAGTGCACCCATGTCATGCAGTGCCCATGGAAGACAGAAGAGGCTGTTGTCAGATCCCCTGGAACTGGAGTTACGGACAGCTGTCAGCTGCCATGTGGGTGCTGGGATTCGAACCTGGGTCTTCTGCAAGAACAGCCAGTGTTCTTAACCACTGAGCCATCTCTCCAGCCCCATCCTTTGCCATTTTTAATGGTGTTTTTATTATTATTTTTTATTTTATTTTATGGGTATGAGTGGTTTTTTTAAAAAAATACTTACAAAGAAAAGGCAAACAATTTTGTATAAGAAACTTTGTAACTTATCTGTAAAAGTTCCCCTACTGTCAAAAAGATATGCATGTATATAATTAGGACTTCATTCCTCCGTGTTTTCTTCCCTTATCTACTGTCACTGTCCTTCAGAACCCTGTTTTAGAAAACTGATGAAGTAACGTGTTGCATATGGCTTACTCTGGATACATCTAAGTCCTTCTGCACATCTAAACTTAGATGGAGTTGGTCAAATGAGGGAACATATGGGTTATGCCTTTTTTAAAGTAGGTTTTAGGAACTGTCAGCATGTTGCTGAGGTGTGGAGTTGTAACTCTGTGTGGACTATGGACAGTCAACAATATGTACTTAAAAGTTGCACTATTGTAAAGCGGGTGTTTTATCCAGGTACTCGTACGCTATTTTTTTGTACTGCTGGTATTGTACCAGAAACATTTTCTTTTATTGTTACTGGCTTTTTAAACTTTGTTTAGCCACTTAAAGAAAATCTGCTTATGGCACAATTTGCCTCAAATCCATTCCGAGTTGTATATTTGTTTTCCAATAAAAAAAATTACAATTTATCCAACTATGAAAAAAAATTTTTATTTATTACTTATTTTTTTTCCAGTTATTTATTTAATAGCCACATACTTAGAAGAAGCATTTCATTACAACAGCATTGACATATTCAATAACAATTTTCTGAGCTAAGATGCATCTTTTTCAAAATTGGCTGTAAATTTTTAGGTTTACAGTTGAATTGTTAGTTATACAATATTGTACTCTGTATAAACCCTATAAGACATAAAGGTAAATGAGGTTTTAACCTTTAAAAAAGATCTCCACTTCATTAGTTTCATATTAAACATTGTTGCCAAATCCAACATTGTGAAATGTTTTCTCTATTTTCTTTTCTAAGAGTTTAGAGTCATAACACTTAGGACTTTAGTCTGCATTGAGCTAGTTCTTGTGAATGATATGACACAAGGCAGATCTTGTTCTTTTGCATGGAGATACCTAGATTTCTCAGCATCATTTGATGACTGTTCTTTCGCATGTGAGTGTATGTGTTTGTGTGTGTGTGTGTGCGCGCACACACGTGCATGCGTGTGTGAAGGCCAGAGGTGAACGTCATCTGCAATCACTCCACTTTATATTTTGAGACAGGGTCTCACTGAACTTGGAGTCACCAGTTAGGCTAGACAGGCTGTCCAACAAGCCCCAGGGCTCCTCCCGCTTCCCCTCCCCCGGACTTGGATTACAGGCATTCGCTGCTACACCCAGCTTCTACATGGGTGCTGGGGATCAAACTCAGATCTTCATGCTTGTGCTGCAAGCACTTTACCAACTTTTCCATTTCTTTAGCCCCTTGCTACTCATTTCTAGTTTAATTCTGTTATGGTTAAAAATGATACTTCATATGATTTCAGTCTTGCTAAATTTGATAGGACTTTTTTATGGCCGAACAGAGACTATCTTCCAGAATATGCCGTGTGCACCCGAGGAGGATTTATATTCTGCTAATAGGTAGAATGCCCTACAGTAAAGTGTTGTTCAAATCTCTTTACTTATTGGTCCTCTGTGGTTATTTTATCTAGCTTATAAATAGGGTATTGAAGTCTCCTATTATATCACTGTCTTATTGCCATCATTGTTTTATATTTAGGAGCTGTGATGTAAGCTGCATAGATATTTATAATCATTAGATCTTCATGGTGGATTGACTTTTTTAAAAAGTGCTTTTATATAGTGAGCTTTTTTCCTGTGAGAGGTTTTGATGTGTGTTTCTCTAGTGTTTCTATAGCTGCCCTGCTCTTTATTGCTCGCTGTTTGCATGGAGTGCCTTTAACACCCTTTCTACCAGAGCCTCTGTGTGCCCTTAGACCTCAAGTGAGTCCTTTACAGGTAGAATAGAGGGTACTGTTTTTGCCCATCCATTTGATGTGTGTTTTTTAACTGAAGATTTTAAATCATTTACACTTAAAGTAATTGACAGTAATTACTATATCTAATAGTAATCATCTATTGCCATTTAAATAATTTCTGTATATCTTGCATGCCTTTAATCCCAGCACTTGGGAGGCAGAGGCAGGCGGATCTCTGTGAGTTCAAGGCCAGCCTGGTCTACATAGTGAGTTCCAGGGCAGCTGGGCCAACAGGGAGACCCTGTCTCAAAAAAACAAAACAAAACAAAACAAAAAACAACCAAGCAACTGACTTGGAAGTTGTGGACCATTTTTTCTCAACTTTTTAGGAAGAATGATGGGTCAAAGACTGTTGAGTGTTATTTTCCATGTGTGCACATGTGCAGGGAAGGGGAGGGCATGGAAGGGAGAAGCATGGAAGGGAGAAGCAGGTGCTCTTTTCTTCTCTCACTAGTTCCCTCCTGAAGTGGATTTAACTAACGCAAAGAGGCAAGATTTTGAACCATCTGTGGAACAGGCAAGATATAACAGCTGCCGGCAGGATGTAGCGTTGCGACCCCCAAAATCACAAGAGGCAACTTCCCCTTGTAGACCAAGCCACCCACACAAGGCGGACATGAGGCTACCGGGGGATGAGGACAGCCGCTCCGGGTACTGAACTCGGGTCCCTCCCTTTCCTCTTCGGCCGCTTCTCCTGTGGCTCAGTCACCTCGGCTTCTGCCTTAGAAACCAGCTGGGGGGGGGGGGGGGGTGTCAGTGTGCCCTCTCAGGCCCGTGCCTATTGTGGTTAACTTGGTTTGCAGTAGTCTGACCTCGGCTGTGGGCAGCGATGCTACTTACCAGCGGAAGCTCCGGCAGAAGCAGCTCCAGCAGCAGTTCCGGGAGCAGATGGAGAAACGTCTGCACATTCCCGTACTTGCTTCAGAAGTTGAGACTAAGAGCGAAGGTGTGTGCGGGAGGTGTGATGCGGCCCTGGCTCTCTAAGGCGTAATCTCTTAAGGCCCTCTAGGACAGATGAACCCACAGAGCTATGACGGGGAAATATGCCCCGCACCTTCCTAGTGCTGAAGACAAAGAGCTTAGGAAAAAAAGGGCTTGATCTTCTGCAATTTGAAGTTTCAAGTAAATAATTTTGTTTTGGTCATCTGCATTTGAAGCTGTTACTTCTTAGGTGACTTTTGAAAAATAAAGCAAAGCTGGGTTTGAAAACAGGAGCTTTTGGCAGATTCTTTATCCAGGAGCCAAGTTTATTTCAGAGTTCAGGTCCATGGAAGAAATGGGTAGATGTTTCAGACTTTTGGAAACAACTAGCTTTTGCCCACTTTTCTGTAAGTGAAGGTACAGGGGACATTCTTTTTTGAGGGGGTTATTAACCCCCTCAGTATTGACAGGAAAATTAATGTGTGAAAGAAAACAGAAAGAAAGAAACTCACTGTTCTGGGCCAATCCCAAGTAATGATTTATACTGAAAGTTTGGCTTCTGGCCCTGCTGGAAACTTGGGGCAGAGGTAGAATTCAGGCTCCACTGTCCTTGTCAGACCCTCAGAACCACTGGAAGGAAATGGGCCGCGGATGGAGCTCAACTGATAGAGCGCTCGCCTAGCATCCTGAGTCCCATCCCCAGCACCACATAAAGCCAATATGGTGGCACATTCCTGTTATTCTAGGAGGGTCAGATGTTCAAGAACATCCTTGGCTAGAGTTCAAGGCCTGCCTGGGCTACATGAGATATTTTTCATACATAAAGGGCAAACAAACTTGATTCTTCCCACTGTTGTGAGATGGAGACTGGAGTTGGAGTTAGGACTGGGAGTCAGGAACCTGATCACCCAGGGTACTGTGCACCACTGAGACTGTTCTCCCTAACAGGAGGGAAACAGACTTAATTCCAGGTTCCACAAGCTGTGTGGCCAATGACTTGTCTTTCTCTCATGTGTAAACCACAGCAGAGCATCCAGCCCATCCACAGCACAGCACACCCATAGCTGCTGCTTCAGAACGACCCAGGGAGAAAGCCATCCTTCCAGGTAAACGACTTAAGAATTAACCAGTGAAGATTTAAGAAATACTTGTCAGTTACTGTGTCCTATACATCCTGGCAGTCACAGAATTTTTTTTTTTTTTTCTTTGCAGCACTAGGGATCGAACCTAGGGCTTTGCAACCCTAGGCAAGTGCATGACCACTGAGCTATATCCCTGACCCACAGAATTCATCTTAAAGGAGGCATAAAAATATTTATTTTCATTTTCTTTCTTTTTTTGGTCTTTTTGAGACAGAGTTTCCCTGTAGCCTCAGCTGGCCTGCTGTGTAGACCAGGCTGGCCTCCATCTCACAGAGATCTGTCTGTCTCTACCTCCTAAGTGCTAGGACTAAAGGCAGATGCCACCATGCCCAGTGGATTTGTATTTCATTTATTGTGTTCGTGCCATAGCACCATGTGGGTCCTGGGCATCAAACTTAGGTCATTAGGCTTGGTGGCAAACACTTTTACCTGCTGAGCCATTTTGCTGGCCCTTACATGATTTTGTAGTGCCATAAACTTATAAAAATAGAGAGAAGGCCTGGCATGGTGGCCCACAGCTTTAAACCCAGTATTCGGGAGGCAGAGACAGGTAGATCTCTGTTAGTTTGAGGCCAGCCTGGTCTACATAGTGAATGCCAGGCCAGCTGGGGCTACAGGGAGACCCTGTCTCAAAAGACCAAAAAAGAAAAAGGAGAGAAGTTCCCAAACTGACTGTTGGGAGCTGGGGGCTTTGACATTTTTTTTAAAAAATTATTTTTTCTTATTTTATGTGTATTGCCTGCATGTAGGTAAGTGCACCCGTGTCGTGCAATGCCTGTGGAAGACAGAAGAGGCTGTCGGATCCCCTGGGATTGGAGTTACAGACAGTTGTTAGCTGCCATGTGGGTGCTGGGATTTGAACCCAGGTCTTCTGCAAGAACCACCAGTGTTCTCAACCACTGAGCCATCTCTCCAGCCCCGGGCTTTGGCTTTTAAAACATGAACAGTTCCTCTCTCATCCTAACTGAAGGGAAGATTCCAGGGTACAGAGGAGAGAAAACTGCAGATTTATCAGAGGGAGCTAACTCAAAACATGGAATCCTCCCATAAGAGCCAGACTGTGTGGTCTCAGTCTTTCTGTCTCAGCCTCTTTAGTGCTGGAACTCCAGGTGTGCACCATAACTGGCATGGCATGGACCCTCTTATGATCACTTTCCAAAGTGCTTTCTGTGAGAATGATTGTTTTCTCGGTCTCTGTAGAGAACATTGAGGACAACACTGAAACGTGGGACCTGACTCCAGACTTAGAGGAGATCATTAAGCCCTTGTCTAGTCCAGAACCCCCCCAGACCTCTGCCCCCCAAGCCTTCAACAACCAGCTGGTGATCCAGGACATTATCTTACCCAGCCTTAGCCATCAGAAGCCACAAGAAAAACCTGGACCCTGGCACCTCCAGACTTGGAACAGTAACCAGCATGCAACAGGTAGAAGAGACATACTGAGGAAAATTTCAGAGAGAATTCTGGGTTATTTCAGTGAATTTTTGTTGTTTGAGACAGGGTCTCCCTGTGGCCCCAGCTGGCCTGGAACTCACTACGTAGACAGGGCTGGCCTTGAATTCACAGAGCTGTACCTGCCTCTGCCTCCCTAGTTCTGGGATTAAAGGCATGCCCCATCATGACCAGCTTACTTCTGTAAAAATTTTTTTTTAAATTCTGTGAATTTTAAAGGAAGGATGCCAGTTCATTTTAAGAAGTTGGATAAACTGGACATAGTGAAATACCAGACCAGTTAGGGTTACATTATCAAGACCCTGTATTTAAAAAAGGGGGGAGTTGGGGGGGAGTGCTGGAGGAAAGAGAAGCTAGTAGAAGCACCCCAAGGCAGTTTGCATTGCAAGGTAGGTAGATGACAATGGCTTAAAGGCCAGAATGTTTCCTTTGGGCTCTTGACTTTAGTTCTAGCTCTTTTTAGCCCTAGAATGAGGTGTGTCCATTCTGGGGCCCAGAATAGCTATGAATATGGCCCAATACAGTCATAACATTCTGACTGCATTAAGAGCATTTCCTCATAAAGGTAGGTCCAATGTGTGATATCACAATAGTAGTCTTCATTTTGTGTGTAGTCTGAATTAGGATCACTAGCTAATACCATCTAGAAATTATCAACTTCTGCTTATTTATTTCTGTGTATATTTATGTGAAAGTATGCATGTATGTTTGTGTCTGGGTACCCTCAGAGGCCAGAGGAAGGCACTGGATCCCTTGAAGCTAGAGTTCTAGGTGTTTGTGGGCCACCTGAAGTGGGCACTGGAATTAGAACTCCTATCCCCGATTGAGCAAGACCTCGTAACTGCCGAGCCATCTGTCCAGCCCCAGCTACTGCTTATTTTAAAATCATGCTGTATTTAAGACATTTATCTTTCATAGGAAACTCTGACTCCCATAGGAAGAATCAGGACCTAAAGAAAAGGAAACTGGATCCGTCCTGAGGCTCAAGACATTGGATTCTGTCAAAGAGGGACTTTGGAATGCAGTTTGGTCACCAAAATTGTTCCCGAGACTTTTACACCTTGGCTCGTGCTGAACCTTACTAGAGGACTGAGGAACCCCACTGCAGAGGAATTCAGGCACTTTCCCAGCTTGCACCTTGTAATGGGAGGCCAACAGCTGGGGTGCCTTTTCCTTGACTCTTCCAAGTTTTTCACTGTTGCCTACTCCTAAGCTATTATATTAAGAGCTTTTTAGGAGTCCGCAGGCTGCCTGCCCTTGAGCAGCACAGCCCATCTTTGTCCTAAGTATCAGCTTGATCAGCTGCCTGCATTAAATTTATGTGTAACGTCACCCTTTGTGCTTCTTGCTGTTAATGTTGCCTACTAAGTGCTGTTCTTGAGAATGGGCCATGTAGTGCTTCTCTACAACAGCATCGCTTAGGCTGCAGTCTTCATCTCAAGTATTCCTCCTTTACCTGCAGATGCGCCTGCTCGAAGATAGTGGATAAACTCTAATTTAAGGCCCTCTCCATTTCAGCACTTACAATGTCCTATGGTAAGTAGTTTGTGTACACCCAGAAAAACAGCATAATTTTTCCATCAGTATCACAGAGGGAAGGTTCAGTTCGATGGGTGATCTCAGCAACTTCATCGGTTGTTTTCTTTTGTTTTAGGTTGAAAGTAGATACTTTTGGTCTTCTCTATGGCACACCCAAATTGTCAAGCCTTCCTATTTGTGTGCTTTGGTGCCATTAAGTAAATAGTGCTTGCACACTAGTACTGGTGCAGAATTGTGGAAGTGCTAATGGAGAAACCTCTTGGAGATAGGGCCTCTCTGGCCAGCCTGGGCAATGAAAACTCATGTCTGATAGAGGATCGTCCACTATTCAGAACATGTAGTTTCAAAGTTAAGAATCATGTACTCTGGCCAAAACCTTTGAAAGCAAAACCATGCTCCATGGGGAGCACTCTGCAACCTCTCATTACACTTGTCTTTCAAGACCAATGTGTTTTTTCCTAAATAAGGAAATGCTCCAAGACAAGGAACAGGCCTTTTTTAGGAAGCAAAGAGCTCTACTTTTTAGTAGGGAATGTAATAGCTGTTTTTTAGATTATGAGATATAACCCACTTTAACGTAAAGCTGCAGTTTTACTTTTTAGATGCATTTTGGGCTGTGTCTATTCTTCTTTGGTCTTTTTGAGACAGGGTCTACCTGTAGCCCCAGCTGTCCTGGAACTCACTATGTAGAGCAGGCTGGCCTTAAACTCAGAGATCCGCCTGCCTCTGCCTCCCGAGCGCTGGGATTAAAGGTGTGCGCCACCACGCCCAGCTGGTTTGGTCTTTTTGAGACAGTATCCTTATAACCCCAGCTGGCCTGGAACTATGTAGACCAGACTGGCCTGTCTCTGCCTCCCAAGTGCTGGCTGGGATTAAAGGTGTGTGCCACCACCCTTGGCCTCTGTACCCAATCGTTTAAAAAAAATTCTTTACATTTGTGTGTGGAAATGGTTCTCTTCTTCCAGCACATGGGTCCCAGGGATCAAATACAGATTATAAGGCTTGGTGGCCAAGTACCTTTACCTACTGGGCCATCTTGCCTGCCCCCATGTCTAATCTTGAAGCAGTGACCACAGACCTGTTTGTGGGAACCTGAGAACCCAAGTCAAGCGACTCTTACAGAAGCTGCAATCGACAGCAACTTGCTTTAACTTTTGTCTTGTAATAGCTATTGTTTTGCCCGTTGTTCCATGGGCAAGTTTATTTCTCTATTGATTTTATATAGCTGCCATTTTTGTCTGAAAGTATCACTTTCATTATTAACAGATTTTACTTTGGGGTAAAACTACTAAAGAAGTTCTTGGGAACAACAAACTCAGTTGTGTACTGTAGAACTCAAAACAGGGTCAATGGAAACAGACATTTTTGCTAGAAATGACACTCCGAAGCTCAACAAAAGCAAGTTTGGTTTATTTGGATGGTTCATTAAATAAGTCTACAAAGGTAACAAACTGAAGCACAAAGCGCAATCTTACAAGAAGCGCAACACCTGGAGTTAGTGCAAAATGTACAATTAACGGCTGCTGAGAAATCCCCAAGGTATGAATTCATTTTTTTTTTTTAAAACAGTGTACATTGTTAAATAATGTAAGGAAAACATTTATAATTGGGAAAGTTCTTTTTTTAATGTGGAAAAAGATAAAGTGTACTATTAACACAGAAATAACTTAAAACAGTTCAGTAGCACTAGCTCGTTCCTCTAGGCTTCAGTTACTTCATCCACAGGAGGGAAAAAACAACAGTAAATAAACCTTTGTGATGGATGAAAGACCTCAAAATTATTAACCAAAATAACAAAACAACAATGTGCTGCATTTGGTTCCCTCTTCCTCTGGTAGAAAGTATTCTCATTCATCCTAAGCAGTCCATTTCTCATTTACACTGCGCCTTAGTTGTTCTATCCGTACTCTGACTTCTCCCCAAAACAATGACTTTGTGACTGCTTTGATAGCAGGGCCAGAAACCCCTGCTCTATTTTCTACTTCTATTTCCCTAACCTTCAGCTCTCATTTGCATCTTTGGGCCTAGGCCAAGTTAATAAAGAAAATAGGCTCTGAAAGGGAGAACAGGACTCAGATAGCCAGGCTCTTCCTACTGTGGTGACTCCCGGGATATGTGACTGAGGTGGGCTGAGGGTTGGAAATAGGTCAGTTTCCCAACTACAGGCCTGCATCAAGGGAGAAAGCACCCAAGAAATGAAGAGTTCTTCTTTATCCATCTTTTCAGAATAGTCAGATCCCTCCCAAACATGGCCAATTAGGTTGGTGTTTCCAGAAAACTCTGAAAATAAAAGAATTGCCCATGACAAGTAGGCATAGCACTAAATAATACTGGTTGGTTGCAGTTGCTTGTGGGGAATATGGGTATGAAAATGAGAAGTTCTAGAAATACAGGTGGCACAATAAATTCTGGTTGTGCAACCGTCTGGATATCATAGAGGAAATGGGTAGGAAGTAAGCTTTTTCTTCCTACAATGCTTAGAAAGTTAGAAGTGGGTCTGTTTTCCACAGTACAGTACTTCAAGCTGTGAAATACAAGAGATGGGGGTGGCCCAAGCAGGTTTTCTTAGAGCAACTTTTCCATCTGTGACTTACCACCATCCTACTTCCAACTTCAAAACTACCCCACCCCCATCATTTTATGTTGAATTTCCTCTAGCTAAGCTTCTTTGTTCAAGCCCAGTAAAATGAGATCTATGCCAGTCACTGGCCAGGCATCACTTCTTCCCCACTTCTTCAATCTTTGCCTTTCATACAGCTCATACCTCCCCATGTCTTTTAAATTGCCCAGTTCTGTTTTAACACCTTTCCTCATTCTTCCTGACACAGAACTTCCGTTCAAGCCCAGTAAAATGAGATCTATGCCAGTCACTGGCCAGGCATCACTTGTCTTCAAGTTTGTTCCCCATTCTTCAATCTTTGTCTTTCATACAGCTCATACCTCCCCACGTCTTTTGAATTGCCCAGTTCTGTTTTAACACCTTTCCTCATTCTTCCTGACACTCAGTTGTAGGGGATTTGACACCTTCTGTCTTCCAAGGGCATGGCATGACATGGGCGCATATATATATATATATATATATATATATTACAATTTTACATTCACATTTATTTATCTAATACAATGGAAATACAAAGGAAAAAGTTAAAGTGTCTTAATAAGTAAAGGACAGAGCTAGCTTTTGTGTGAACCTTTTAAATCTTTCAAATTTTACTCTTAAAACTAATGTTGTCCAACAACATTTATATAATCACAGTGTTTTCACATCAAAACTGATGGCAAAGTTACATGTCCGCAGGGAACGTAATTTTTTCTTCCTAATTGCTAATGCTGCTAATATCTTTCACTTAAAGCACTAATAATGACCTATATAAGAAAGGGTTGCAACCCCAGTCCCCTGGTATTTTTCACTGGGTTGTAAAGGGAAAAAAAAATGGTGATGGGGATCAGAGTGGGAGAGAACCTTTTTGCCTTCAGGTGTGAACTCTTGAGGGAGTAAAGAATTTGGGGCATATTGTCACAATTAAGAGCTCTACTCAAACACAGACAGCTTGGTTTACATTGAGCTCTTAGAGCTTTCTGGTAACAAGGTTCTCTTTTAGCCCTAGGCCTCACTGGTGGGTAGAGAAAAAGGAAAGCAGTCACAGGCGGCCCCTCCATAAGTAAGTTGCTCCTTCTTGTCCCACCCCAATTAATGGAGAGGGAGGGAGGTTCTCCATTCTGAGGGCTCAAAATGGTATTAAAAACATTCCCTTCTGGCAAGAAATAACCAGTTAAATGCAGCACTAGTAGTTAGTATATAGGCTACTCCCCCACCCCCCACCCCTCAGCATTCCATCTCCTGCCCCCCAAATCTACTCAGTGGACATCGTCAGGTCTAAGTGGTCCGCAGGTTGGGACCTGGGGGATTGCTGATGGACTTCTGCAAATTGCTGATGTTGAAATTCTGCAAGGATGCAGTTCCTACAGGCTGGAACTGGCTAAGTGGCTGTGGTGCTGGACCACTTGTTCCACTCCACTGAGTGCCAAATGGGGCAGCTGGAAACCCATACTGCTGTGGGGGACACATGGACTTGGTGAAGTGACCTAGAGAGGTAGCAGATGCTGCAGAGATGGGGGCAGAGCCACCCAGGTTTGAGGTCATGGAAATGCACAGCTGTCCAGGAGCAGAGAACTTCCTTGCCATTCCAGGGCCCTAAAAAACAAGAGAATGACAGAATTTGGTGTGGGTAAAATACTAATGGGTGCAAAATAGCTGGTATTGCAGTATCATTCTAGAGCTGTAATGGTTCTAATCTCAGTGTTAGCAAAATATAACAAAACCTGTAATATTTAGTGGCTCTATGCTTAACGAGAAGAGGTAAAAATAACCATTCCAACAAAAATGTGTGCATGTGTACACATGCGTGCTAGGTGTAGGTATGCACCCACAAGTAGTGCAGGATATTGAAGGAAGAAAGGGTACTAAGACGATTTGTCTCATTTTCCCAATAATGTTACAATTCATGGGCTGCTGAAGAAGGTAGTGGTACTAGCTGAAGTAGTTTGCATCATTTCTGACTTAGCTGTGTGTTGGTGGTCTGATAGGTTAGGAAAAAGGGAAGACTTACCTCATAATTCATGTGTCCTTTGCTTCCTCTCCTGCCTGAAAGATTCATGGCATCTCGGGCCCAGTTGTCTACCAGCTTGTGCAGGTCATCTGTGAATGTGCCCTTCCTACTGGAAGTCATGGCAGGAGGCTGAGCCTGGGCGGCTTGGCTACTCACAGTTCCCCCAACAGTGTTTGTGCTGCTGGTCCCTAGAATTGTAAGCAACAATACTGACATTAAAAGGAGTCTGGATTATAATTCCAAGAGGGAAAATGTCACAGGATAATGGATGGCAAGGCACAGAATTGGAAGAGGAATTGGGAAGCCATGCAGGAAAGGAAGACTTCAAAGTTTTATTTAGCCATCTGCTTTGGCATAATAGGTAATGGTTTCTCTTCCATAGCTGTGGATAAGGCAACAATCCACAACTTGGGATGATGGCAGGCATGAAGGGCAGGGGGCCTCCTTCAAAGCATCTTAAAATACTGAGACTTTCCGCCAGTGCTCTATTCTCAGTACACTGATAAGGAAGTATGATATGGTCCACAAAGCTAGCTGCTATGGAAATCTGCAGAAAGCAGGGCAAAAGTAGCATTGTGCACTGGGTGAGTTAAAGGAGTAGGAGTGCAGAGATCAGTGCTTGGCTGTGAGGATGATGCGGTTCCCAGACTGTGGGTACTGTGCATTCTTTAATATAAAAAAGGAACAGGAGAAGTAGCATGCTCTGCTCAAAAATTTTTTTTCCAAGCTCCAGGAAGATAAAAGATTTTTCTTGAAGATTACTTTGGTTTCAATTGGTCCAAGAATTCTCATTCTTTCTCCCAACTCTTCTCAAAAGAGCAAGCACTCCTGGGTAGCAGCAACAGGAAAATGCAGCTGAGGCAGGGGTGCAGAGGGGAGAGGAAGCAGAGAGGTTATGATGAAGGGATTCTAATTCTATGGTCTGATGAAAAGGGAAGAAGGAGTCTGTGTCCTGCCTGATTTGGGCTCTGCTGGAGGGCACACTGGAGTTATTCGAAGAGGCAAGTTTTAAGGAAGAGGGAAAGAAGAGTCATGGTCTTATCTTGTTTTCTTATCTCCTATTTATTACCAGATTTCACATTTGCTACAGATTAAATAAAAGCTACTAAAGTTGTGAACCAGTAAGCCCTAACCACACCTGAGTAATGCTGGGACTAAATGCATGCGTTTTCCTGCTTTTAATGTCAAAGCAGCTTACCAGAGCACAGCAGCATACCCCAAGCAACCCTGCCTACTATTGCCCTCTATATCCGCTTGGTTGCAGGTGAAATTTGTCTGTGCCAGAGGGACATAGCTAACTCAGAGGTGAAGCTGCAGAGTGAGGGTGCTCACATGCTTCTCACCACGGTAAGATGTGGTCATGTGGTGCCTGCTAGAGCTGTAGGGGACTGTTACTGCACACAGTCTAAAGGGAGAGTAAATTCGCCTACAGTGCAAGAAACTCAAGTGGATAAGTATAAAAGCACAGGAAACAGCCTTCCTTGAATAGCAAACGTAGGACAAAGGTGCAGTGGGAAGGAAGCACAGGCCACGAGGAAGGGGCAGTCACAATAGTGAGGAAAACCCAGAAAGCAAGCATGTGACATGCATAAGGACTGGCATCCTGCTGGATGACAAGCAAGGTGATCAGAACAGAAGTGTTCACAGTAAGGAGGGCTGTCTGATGCCAAATGTGGGAAGCCAAGCCAGGGTGAGCACTGATTACCCACAGAGAGCACATGCTGGAAGTCACGCCTCTCTAGCCTGATGCTGTGAACCTCTTTAGACCCAAATGTCACTTTTTATTTTAATCTCCATTCCCTACACTAGATTCTGAAAATAGGGGAGAGTCACCCACTTAACCTTTTTATTCTGGCTTCTGTAAATAAGCTTCTTAGAAGGCATCCCTTTCTGACCAGAGTGTAACTTCTAGAAAAAGAAAACTTGACTATAAAGTAGACTTAAACTAACAGGCCTTCTGGAATGTTCTAACTGGCTTTTAAACCTTTTCAGTTCTGGAAAGTCTTACAAAGCACTATAGATTTTATTCCCCCAAATCCATGTTTTGGCTTTCTCCTATCTCCATGCTGCCAGACTAAGAAGTATCCATAACCCACTATGAGGCACTTATTGCCAAATATCCCAAGTACCGAGTTTTCTTGAATGCGTAGAATCTCATAACCTGTTAGGTACTGAATTACTTGTATTTCATTTTAATGAAAAGTCCCTAGTCTACAAAAGCCAAGCTCTATCAATCAAATAGCATTCCTTTTCACAGTCGTCTAGCAGGCAACCCCTCTATACACCTAGATCACTGTTGAATTCCCTGTGGTGACACAGCATATACTTGCTGAATCAAAAACTCTGTTTTACAGAGGCTAGGCACCCTGATTTCCCCATTCATATTCATGGGTGCCATGACTGTCACAGCTAGGCTCACATGAGAACACTGACTACGAAACCTTTTCAATCTGGAATTGCTAACTAGTAGTAGCAACTATACATGTTACAGAACACATTAGAAAAGGGTGCAGGGATAGATGGAAATTAGGAACCAGGGAATTATGAGGCATCAGAGTTTAAAGAACTCATGAATAACAGGCTTTGCAATCAGGACCAAAAGTAACAGAAAGAAAAGATAATTACTACAGAGCTGGTTGCAAGGACAGACTTTTTTCACCATCTTCCCTGAAGCACAAAGAGAGAGCAGTGTGTTAAATATCAGTGTAAAATATATATAGACTCTCAAACAGCACATAGAAGTCCAGCAAGAGAAAGCAGGAGGGGACACAGATGGATGGGACCTCGTAGCCTGGATGTAGATACAGTTCTACGGGCTATATCTAACAGGCTGTGAACATTAACAGGATTATCTGATGGATTGTGTAGCCTGAATGACAAATGGAGCTTTTAATATCCAATCTGATTCTAAAACACAATGCTGCATTAAGGTTCTAGATGAGGGTCGAACAGATCTCACTGCTTGAATTTCAAACAGCCAAGAAGTACTTCCATTGACCTTGTCCTACTTCCTGTTTCTCCTGCTGGGTTGTTATAAAGCACTCAAATTAGTACCATTGTTACAGCTTTAAGTTAAATTGGTTGTTATAATTTCCACATCTTAGACATATATACTAATCCCATCCCTTCCAGAAAAATCTTTAATAGGAGTATGTGGAAAACAAGCAACCTTTAAACATAAATAGAGCATTAAGCCAAGCCGTGCTTCTGAACTATTTTGAGAGCATAGAATAATGTATCCAAGTAAGGGTCCCTACCCTCCCAAGCACCTTTTTTTTTTTCCCCCCAGATGAAAAAAACAATCTCCTAGGATTTGTTCAGAGACTATATGACATATCCTGATGTACCTTCAACAGGTTTAGGCCTCCCTCTTTCATTCAGACACAAAAGGAAGTGGTATGATTTAGTGATTACCCATCACTTTCAAACAGGTAATAATACCACCTATACTTAAAGAGTATGTTGCAACTTACAGAATCAAAAATCAAATGGTGCTTGTGATACTTCACAAGAAAGAAACCTTGGCTTGCATCTTTCAGACCTTTCAGGTTGTATATCACAGGCCTGGGCACGTCACATTTTATCTCAAAATACCTATTTTATCTTTTGAAAAAAAAATGTGTATAAGTGTTTTGCCTGCTTTATGTGCATGTGTGTGTGCATATATGTATGTATCTATATACGTGTATATATGCCACATGCATGCCTGGTACCCTCAGAGGCCAGAAGAAGGTGTCAGATTCCCTGGAATTGGAGTTACAGATGGTTAAGAGTCACCATGTGGGTGCTGGGAACTGAACTCAGGTCCTCTGCAAGAGGGGCCAGTACTCAACCCCCAAGCCATCTCTCCAGCCCTCACCCATCCTATCTGATTATTAATGTCCTTTCAGCTTTCTAGCTGGACACATAAATTCAATGCTTATTCAAGTGTGCTAATGAGCATAGTTCAGGCTAGTCTAATGAGAAAATTATTGATGAGTGTACCTAAATCATGCATGCTTGAAAAACTATTAGATTGGGTAATATCTTCCAGCCAGTTTACTCAAGAGCTCAGCCCTGGACCACTGACATGTGAACATGGTAAAAGATGGCTGTAGGTAGAACCAATCTATGACTAGCTTAAGGAAAAAAGAATAGGGGAAAAAGGATTACAAATATGCCAATGAGGGAAATAGAGGTTAAAGCTAATACAGAAAGGTTCAAGAGAACAAAGGAGAGTGTAAATTCTTCCCACCATGAAGAGGCCTAAAGATCCCTGAGCCATATACTTAGAAACATTGATGGCCTTAGCACATGCATTTAAAAAGCACTTTAATAACCACACCAGAAGTTTGAGGCCTTAACTTTAGATTGTTATCCAAACTCTAACAAAGCGCCGCCCCCCAGCCCCATATACATTTATTGGCTACCCACTAAGTACTAGATAGCAGTTGGGGTTTCCCTGTGATTAGCCCCTGACTGCTAAGTAGCAACTGCTTTTTTTTTTTTTTTTTTTTTTTGACAATTATCTTAATTGAGTTATAAAATAGCCATAGGAAGTAGACACTACTTTCATTCTATACAGGGTAATCTGTTCCTGTGCCATATATGTATGTGTATGTGTGTGTGTGTGTGTGTGTGTGTTCCCATGTGTATGGGTACATGTAGAGGTCAGAGGACAACCACAGGTGTTCCTCTCTAGGAGCCATTCACATTTTTTTTTGAGATAGGGTCTCCCATTGACCTGGGGCTTGTCTAGGCAGCCCCAGGGATCCTCCTGTCTCTACTTTTCCAGCTTTGGGATTCCAAGTGCAAGCCACTTATGCCCAGTGTTTTACTTGAGTTCTAGGGATGGAACTTAGGTCCTTATACTTGCATGGCAAACACTTTACTGAGCTATTCCTATACCTTGTTTTTAAACAGAAGGTGAGGATATTCCAGCAGTCAGATTAAAATGACAATTTTACTTGCAGGTTTTTGGTCTTTAAAACAATAAATGCTTTGCTGAGATAACTGCACCAAACACCTTTTTTGACCTACTTTATCTCATGGGGTTGGTGGTAGTGGTGAAAGATCAATGAAAAGATTTCTAGCATCTTTTTAACTGGCACATATTTAGGCTCACTTGAAAAGAAAAAGACTCCAATTCATACTTAAATGAAAACCAGGGTAAGGTTTTACCTTCTGACAGGATCTAAGTGCAATCAGCAGTCAAAATGCTTTCTGTCACCTCTTTGTTTTTATTTTGAGGCAGGACCTTGCTGTGTAGCCCTGACTGGCCTGGATCTTGCTATGTAGTCTATGTTGACCTCAAACTTGCAATCCTTGTCTCAGCCTTCCCAGTATTGGGATTACAGGCTATCTTCTGTCACTCCTAATGTCAGGGCAGGGAGATAGCACTGAACATGACTATAAAGTATAGTCTTAATATAATCTCTAGCCTCACAAGGATCTAAAAGAAGCATTTCTACTTGGGAGTTATTTTGAAACCTATAAAAACTTAATGTTATTTCTGTATTATTGTAATTAACACAGGGACCCAAACTTCTGAGGGTAAGAGTAGTCAGCCAAGCCACTGAGTAGATGATGTATAGAGAGACAAATGAAAATGGACTGCATGACAAATCAGATCCAAAGCAGCAGAAAAACAAGGACAAGGAAGGAGTAAAGGTGTTACACACAAAGAGCCAAGCAGGGCGTACTCAGAAATCGGGTCCTCCTGCCACCAGGTTTGAATGTCACCTGCTCAGATGCACAGTTAAACTTCGCACAGCCTGTGAGAGGGGGAAACAGGGAAGAACAGAGAGGAGAAGAGACAGAACACAACTACAAGATGTTAGAACTTGAGGCTGGAGTGGTGAAACACACTAAGATGGCACACAGAAGAACAAGCTCCTCAGGGAAGTTCAGATATATGCATAAGACAGAAAATAACCAAGCCTCAAACTGCTCCATTTGCAGTGATGCAGCTTTCTCAGTTGGAACAATGCTAGCAACTTTGTGTTGTTTCTTACTAATGAAATATATTCACTGGGTGAAGAGCAAATTTAATTTCTAATTTCTTTGAAAGTGTGGAAGATGTGCTTTATTTAACTCCTTTCATTTTTTTGTCTTGGCCAGACTCTTCTTCTGGTTTTTTTTTTTGAAAGGTTCACTATTATAGCACAGGCTAGCCTTGAAGTCTCAATCCTCCCACCTCAGCCTCCTAAGTGCTAGAATTATAGGCATGTGCTGTCATGCCTGGCTTTCCTTTCAATTCTTATTCTAATGCTACTAAAAGCTCTCTGCAATGTTTTGAGCAACAATAAAACACAATTTGAAAGTAGAGTGTAGATCATAAATTAGAGTTTAGGGTGTTCCTCTCTTGGAGCCACTCCTACTTTCTGGAGTTCTTTCTTACTCTTCCTTAATAATGCTATGTTCACTATGCACTACAAAGTTAGATTTTAGGGCTAGTCATTTTAGTATACTACCATGCTTAGAAGTTTAAAAAGTACATGGGCTAAGAAAATACATTAGTTTTCAGAAACTGCTAGACACTCTAGCTACCTGCTCACAAAATCTCAGTCTAGTATTAAAGCCCATGTTCCAGATCCCAAATGAGTTATTAATATAGGCTGCAGGTTTAAGATTTGTGGCTGCCAAGGGGGCAGTCATGGGACCGGAATGGATAATCATGAAACTGAGTAAATAACCAGGGGACTCATGATTTCTTCGCACACAGTAGTGCCAAAAGCACAGGCAGCTTTGCTTTTATTCTCAGTCATTAGAACTACAGCTGAAATGTCTACAGAACAGTGAACAATAATAAAGTGGCTAGAATAAAACTGTTCAGCAAAATATAATGAGCAAGATAACATTATCTCCACAGTATGCCTTCTTGGGAGATCAGCTTGTTTCCAGAAAAACAAGGGGAGTATTGGCATTCTGGAGATAATTCCTTAGCAAGTGTTCTTGCATAAACTTTCTTAGGAGACAAGGCTCTCCAGACGTACATGCTCTGGTTCAGCTTAATTTACCAAGTATATATTTAAAGCCATAGGAACACCATTTCACAGTCCCGTCAAGATTTCATTACTATCCCTTGAAAAGACACTATTGTGGAGCTAGCTATGATTGCTTACACCTGTAATCCCAGCACTTGGGAGGCTGAGGCAAGAGGACTGCCAGGAGTTCAAGATTAGCCTGGGCTCCAGAGTTTATTCCAGGCCAGTTTGGTCTACAGAATAAAGTGCTGTCTCAACATAGAAACAAACACCCCCGCCTCCCCAAGAACAAGAAGCTATGAACATGGCTTGGAGCAAGGAGGGGAGTCCAATCATTACTCAGCTTCTCTGCTCAGCCCAATGACTGGTCACCATTTAATACTCTGCCTGTTTTCTAGTCAGTTAATAAGTTATCCATCAGGCTTTTGTCCCAAAGATGGCAATACTTCATCTTAATACTTCTGGAAGATTAAGATCTAGAAGATTAAGGTGGTCACTTTATTTCTTACCTTGACCTGGAGCAGAAAGGCTTGGTACTGAAATGGCACCATCACTGGTGAAGGCTGAATAGAGGTTGTCACTGGAGGGAGATGGCTTAAGAGGCTGTAACAGCTGATTGTGCCCAGTCTCTGGGGTGTTGCCTGGGGGATGGAGGGTCTGCTGGGGTTGTAAGACTGAAGTTCCACTCTGACCAGACAGGTTACCTGCTGAAAGATAAAGGGGCATAAAGAAACATGGGGAAGGAACTGGAAAAACATCTCAATTGGTAGAATGCTTACTTGGCATGCATGATGCCATAGGTTCAATCTCCAGCACCACCTAAACCAAGTATGGTGGTGTATGCCAATATTCCCAGCATTTGGAAGGTAGAGGCAGAATGATCAAGGAATTCAAGGTCATCCTTGACTCCCCAGTGAGTTTGAAGCCAGTCTGGAATCCATAAGACACTGTCTCAAAAAAAAAAAAAAACAAATGTCCCTCAGTGGAAGTTAATCCAGTAGGACCTAGCCTATCTAGAGTCCCTCCCTTTTAGAAGATCAGCTCTTCTTCACTCAGCAGTAATCAGCTGCCAATAACTGACTAAGATTGCGGCCTGCTGTCCATTTCCACAGATCTGTTGGTTTTTTGTCTGCCTAAGTTTGCATGGTCTTGTGCATGCTTAGCCCTCTTATTTATTTTTTATTTTATTTATTTATTTTTTGGTCTTTTTGAGACTGGGTCTCCCTGTGGCCCCAGCTGACCTGGACTTCACTATGTAGACCAGGTTGGCCTTGAACTCATACTGATCCGCCTGCCTCTGCACCACCAGGCCCAGGATTTAGCTCTTAAAAAAAAAATTGTTATTTTTAGTGAGTATATTGCCTGCATGTATATACGTGCACCTGTGTTATGCAATGCCTACAGAGATCAGAAGAGTGTGTCAGATCCCCTGGAACTGGAGTTATGGATGGTTAGCCACCATGTGCGTGCTGGGAACCTAGGTCCTCTACAAGAGCAGCTAGTGCTTTTAACTGCTGAGTGTCTCTCCAGCCCAAGTTTTAGCCTTCTTTAACTTTGAAACCAATTACCTATTACTACACAGTTATCAACAAAGGCAAAAACTCTCTATCCCCATTAAATGGACAAACATAGTCTATTATGAGAAGTTATGATTTAAATATCTTTGATCATAACCACCACCAAGTTCTTTAATATAGATACATGAAATAAAAGGCTTCATTAAGGATGTTACCACACACAGACACACTTAAGAATCTATGAGGGTTGGGGCTGGAGAGTTGGCTCAGCGGTTAAGAACACTGGTTGTTCTTGCAGAAGACCCAGGTTCAAATCCCAGCACCCACATGGAAGCTAACAACTGTCCATAAATAACACCAGTCCCAGGGGGATCCGACAGCCTCTTCTGTTCTCAGTGGGCACTGCATGACATGGGTGCACTTACCTACACACAGGCAATACATACATACACATAAAATAAAAATAATTAAAAAAAAAATAAAAGAATCTATGAGGGTTAACTAAGCCTAGTTACAATTATGGCCAACTCATTCATTTAAAGGAAAACAGAATCTATCTTAAGTTTATCAAGCAAAGAATAGTGTGTTTAATTCTAAATGCCCCAAGTCTAGTTAAATGTGATTTATATGAGTTAACAGGCAAAGTTAAATGTTTATCCTTAAGAACAACCATAAATGAAGACTACCAGTAGATAGTAACACAGATTATAATAAAAGGCCTACTTGTATAAAGTCTAAGAGTTTGTTCTAAACATACCAGGAATAGGAGAGTCAAAGCAAGAATATTAAAAAGCCAAACTCTTTTGAAATTTAACGAAGTAACAAAAATTCAATAGGTTACATACACAGTAGGAGAAAGAAACAGAAGATGGCTGACTTGGTCCAGGGCTTTTTACCTGAAAGCTGTGGGCTTTTATTGCCCAATGAACTGCTGCGACTAGATTTGCTGCCTTTGCTTTTAGTGGGTCGCCTTCTTCTCCCTGAAAGGGGAGCAGCTGGGGGAATGATGACAGCAGGGGGAACCTTGCCCAGCTTGGTATATAAAGATTCAATTTCATGCTTCTGGCGACTCTGCAGGTCCTGAATCTCTTTAAGATGTCTATAAAAGATAACCAAATATAAATCAAAATATAACGACCTTTGTTGAAGAATTAAAGCATATTCTTAAATCTGCATTCAAATATCCACTTAGCTATGAACCCTTTTCCCAAATCTACCATGAGATTCTAATTTGACAATTCAAATTGCTGGTCTCTATGACAGAAGTCACATTCTAATAAGCGACTCGCCTAGATGAGAGCATGTTAGAGGAAAAAAGATTCCTAACTTTCAAGGCCAAAGAGAGGATAGGTGAATTTGTTATTCTGGTTCAATTAGACAATTAACAAAACTGTAAATATAATCATGTATCTCAGTGCTGTTATTGGATTCATGCAATAGACAAGAGTGGTTAGTAGTAATAAAAAGTGCTATTAACAAAAATAATACAACAATATAAAATTGTTAAAGATATACCTAACTACAAATGCTGTGGATGCTACTGAGTACAAGAGAACTCAATGAATAATGAGTGGGCAATTTTAGTTTGTGCACATCATTTTTTGTTTAAAAGTAAAGCCAATGTCAGTGTCTTATAGCAAAAAGCTATTAATATTGGCACCAAGTTCTAGATACACTGTCATGATTTCATAGAAAGAAATATACTTACTTTTCTCGTAGCCGTCGCAGTTCTAATTTTAAGTCTTCATCTTCAATGTCTGATTCATTGTCACTACTCATGTAAGAGGAATTGAATGAATTACTAAGGCTTTGACTTAGATTTTGGATGGGAAGGCTCTTTGAACACAGGTGAGGGGGAGAGTGCGGACTACCTGAGCCATCATCTGCACCCCTATTTAGAAAGGCAGCCTCCAGGTCAGAAGATGGCCCATTCAGGTGGGAAGATTCTACCAGCTCAGGCTTCTCTTTCTTTGGTATCACGGCAGGAAGAATGGTTTGTTCTGAATCTCTCAAAGGGGTAGAGGTCACTGGTTCCTCTTTCTTGACCTCTGTGATCTTGTCCTCAGTTCTTGATACAGAGAAGCGACCCACTTTGTTTGCTGTAGTTGTCACCTGAAAACGTCCAACCTTGGTAGGCTGTGCTGTTTCTGACTTTGCTTCTGGGGCAGGTGTTTTGTGGGCGCTGACTGGCACATCTAAGGAGATGCTAGGGATTGTTATACCATTAGGTTCTGGCTTCACCAGTGTACTCTCTGGACTACTGCTTGATAGCACTGATGACTCTGATGTGCTAGACTCAAAATGAACAGACTTTGTATCATCTGACCTATTTTTATCCTCTTTCTGGGCATCATCCATTGTAACTGAAACCTGACAGAAAAAAAGAGAATGAAATAAGATTAAAACATGAGGTCCCCGGGGCTAGAGAGATGGCTCAGCAATTAAGAGCTCTGGCTGTTCTTGCAGAGGACCTGGACTTGAATCCCAGAATCCACATGGCAGCTAACAACTGTCAGTAACTTCAGTTCTAACGCCCTCTTCTGATCTCCGTGGGCACGGTATGACACGGGTGCACTTACACACATGTTGGCAATACACTCATACACATAAAATAAAAAACGAGATCCCCAATACTCAATTTCTAGTCTGGACATTAAAAGGAGTAATCAGGGCTGGTGATATAGCTCAGTTGGTAGAATGCCTGGCTAGCATGACTAATGCCCTGGGTTAGCTCCCAAGCACCCCATAAACTAGGCATGGTGATGTAGGCTTATGACCCCAGAACACTCAGGAGATGGAGTGAGGAGAATTAGTTCAAAGTCATTCCTATTGGATGATCTTATCTTTAAAAAAAAGGGTGGGAGGCAGTGACAGAATCAACTTATTTCTCCATCAGTACATTGCTGTGAAAATAAACCGAATACTTCTACACAGAACACATTAATAATTAAAATGCACATTCTGAGTGCTGACTAAATTATTATTTTTTATTTATTTTTATGTGTATGCGTGTATTGCCTGCATGAAGGTAAGTGTACCTGTCGTGCAATGCCTGCGGAGGACAGAAGAGGCTGTCAGTTCCCCTGGAACTGGAGTTACAGACAATTGTTAGCTGCCATATGGGTGCTGGGATTCGAACCCGTCTTCTGCAAGAACAGCCAGTATTCTTAACCACCAAGCCATCTCTCCAGCCCCTTATTTTTATCTTTCATGTTACATGACTCAAATCCATATTTTATTTATTTTAAAAATTTTATTATTTTTATGTGTATGTGTGTATTGCCTGCATGTAGGTAACGTGCACCGTGTCGTGCAATGCCCCACATTGGTCAGAAGAGTCCGTCGGATCCCCTGGGACTGGAGTTACGGACAGCTGTTAGCTGCCATGTGGGTACTGGGATTCAAACTTGGATCTTCTGCAAGAACAACCAGTGTTCTTAACTGCTGAGCCATCTCTCCATCCCCTCAAATTCATATTTTAATCAAATTATAAGTAATATGTTACAGGATCTTAAATGTTGCTTGTGGATAGGTTATATCCAATGACCATTAAATGTCAGAAACAATGGGACTAACAACTAAGATTCAGATTCTTGTCATGGTTTGTCCATGAATTACAGATATAAACTCAGCCCACTATATACTCTTAGACCCTCAGTTTATTGACCAAGATTATATATCATCTATAATCTCCAATTACAAGGAGTATAATAAAAATAATTTTAAAGTAGTTGTGAAAGTAATCTTAAAAATATGTGACAGCTGGGGCTACAGGGAGACCTTGCTTCAAAAAGATAAAAAAAAAAAAAAAAGTTCTAAGAGATAGAAAAGGTTCATTTGTTGGGCAATATGGGAAAATAAAATGTAGTATCACTTGATGCTGACTTCACTTGAGGAATAAATCCTAAGAAAATTATCCTAAAAATGAAAAATGCTTTTACACATAAAGATGTTTATTATTTCTTTAGTATATTGGAAAAAGTAGAAGTGGATGGGATAACAATAAAAGAAATGTTTAGGCAAAGCAACTGCCAGTTGGGGAAAAAAAGGCCTAGGAAATATGATTTAGAGACACAGTGGCCAGTTACAGAGACGGGGAGGTAGAAAAAAGTACAAATCTGTTGCTCTAAGTTTTCTTGGTAATTGGTAATGATGTTTTCTGAGAGGTAAATGATAAAGAGAGCTATCAATTGTTATATAAAATGTATCATTAGACTGACAATTATGCCCCAAATATGTAGGTTGATATATTTTTCTTTTTGGTGGTACTAGAGATTAAATCTAGGGCCTTGTACATGCAAGTTCTTGACCACTAAACTAAATCTCCAGATCTCTTTTTATCTTTTCTGCTTGTTTGTTTGTGAGACAGAGTCTCACAACATAGTACCAGCTGCCTGAGCTCACTAGGTAGACCATCCAAGGCTGGCCTTAATCTCACAGTAATCTGCCTGCCTCTACCTCCCAAGTGCTTGGATTAAAGGCTTACTTTTCAGTTTGAGAAAAGGATCTCACTACATTACTAGTTTGGACTTGAAGTCACTCTGTAGCTCTAGGCAGGCCTTGAATTTGTGATTCTCCTGGAATCAGCCTGTGCTACCAGGCTCGGCTAATAATTTTTTTTTTTTTTTTTTTTTTTTGGTCTTTTTGAGACAGGGTCTCCCTATAACCCCAGCTGTCCTGGAACTCACTATGTAGACCAGGCTGGCCTTGAACTCACAGAGATCCGCCTGCCTCTGCCTCCCGAGTGCTGGGATTAAAGGCGTGCACCACTACGCCTGGCCCAGGCTGATAATTTTATTATATACTCTGCTGCAAACAGAAAGGATCAAAGGGACTGGAAAGAGGGCTAACCAGTTAAGAGCACTGTCTGTTCTTGCAGAAGAACTGGGTTCAGTTCCCAGCACCCAGATGGTGGCTAACGACTGTCCCAAACTCCTGTTCCAGGGGATCTGCAGTCCTCTTTTGGCCCCAGAGTGCACTGCATGCACATGGTACACTTACATACATGTAGGCAAAATACTCATACCCATAAAAATTTTTTTAAAAGGGGAGGGTCAAAACAAAGAAAATGATCATATTACCTGAAATCGCCCCATCTTAAAAACACCAGCTCCTGAACTAGTTGCTAGGACAGGACCTTCAGTACCTTGAGAAACTGAAATACATAAGAGGAAGATTAAAAAAAAAAATTAACATTTCTAGTTTCTTTTCCATTTCATGAGAAATATAGTACATTAAAGACACTTTACCTACCCTTTGAGACAGTCTACTAACTCAGACTGGTCTCAAACTTGATCTTCCTGTCTCAACATCCCAAGTGCTGGGATTACTGGCACGTAAAGCAGGTAAACGCCGGTTTTTAAAATTTAATTTAATTATTATTATTATTGTGTATGTGGTGTGATGCCTGCATATAAGCCACAGTACATGTGTCAAGTCAGAGGACAACTTTTGGGAGTCATTTCTCTCCAATCATGTGGGTCCTGAGGATTGAATTTACGTTGTCAGGCTACTCATTGAGCCATCTCACTGGCCAAGATATGCCTTATTTTTTAAAAACAATTTTATCACATTCAATCTCTGTGTGTGTGTGTCTATGAATTCATACATGTGTGCCATGGCATGTGTGTAGAGGTCAGAGTAGGAGTTGGTTCTCTCCCTTCTACCATGTGAGTCCTAGAGACAACTTGGGTCATCAGGCTTGGCAGCAAAGTGCCTTTATATGCTGCATCATTTCACTAGCCCCAGCATCTGTTTTTAACTGAAAGTTAATTACATTTATTCTCTTTTCTTTTTGGTGTGTGTGTTTTATGTGTATATGTGCAAGTGTTTGTGGATGTGAGGGTTGTGAATGTGCAGGCTTGATGATGAGTGTCTTCTAGTCCTCTCCATTTTGTTGAGACAGTCTCTCACTGAATGTGGAGCTCACCATATCACCAGACTAGTTAATCTGTAGTCCCTAGGATCTCTCTCCTTTAATCCAGGACTGGGATTACAAGTGCTTTTTACATTGGTTGCTGGTGATACCAAATTGGGCCTTCATACTTGCACAGTAACCACTTCATCTACCAAGCCATCTCCCCAGCCCTACCATTTACTTTCTTAATGTAGCACTTAGGCAAAATCCTAGAACAGAAATAGTAGAGTTTTCTTTTTTTGTTTGTTTTTTTTTGAGACAGGGTCTCTCTATAGCCCCAGCTGGCCCGGAACTCACAGAGATTTGCCTGCTTCTGCTGAGATTAAAGGCGCAGGCCACTATGCCCAGCATTTTTTTTTTTTTTTTTTTTACACATTTTACTGATTGATTGGTTAATTATCTGACTGTGTGAGGTGGGTTGTGAGGTGCATGCCATGAATATGTGTAGGACAGAGGACAATTTGCATGAGTTGGTTCAGGGATTGAACTCAGGCTGTCAGGCTTGACAATGAGTGCCTTTGCCTGCTGAGCCATCATGATGACCTTCCTTTATATTTTAAAAGTTGTCTAAGAAGTAGTCTCATAGATTTGTGGCCTATGGAATGAAGTGCTGAATCATTACCATTTACAACTCTGACAGACATTACTAAACTGACTGCCAGAGGCTTTTCCAATGGTGGTGAGAAGTGTTGTTTGTAGTTTTACTCTGCATTTGTTATTGTTAAGAAAGCATTTTCATATCTAAGTTTATTGTTTTCCTTGTCATTTTCACACATCCTACAGAGTACATACACAAATAAATATATTTCCTTGTAATTTATTTTTTTGTACTTAATGTTATTCTTCTTTTCCTACCTCAATACATTTAGACTATTATTGCCTACCCTGAGTTGAGGATTAAACTTACTCATCTTCCTCTTTATCAGGGATTAGAAAACTGTGGTTAGTGGACCAAATTCACTGTATAAAGTTTTATAAATATATTTTATTGGAACACAGCCAAGCTTATTCCTTTATGCATTATCAGTTGCTGCTTGTTTGGAGTATAACAGACTTAAATAAGATGTGATAAACTTGTGACCTCAGAAGCCTTTTAAAAGAAATTTACAATTTGCTCCTAAAAAAAATGTTTCAGCCAGGCATGAATGGTGACACACACCTGTAATTCCAGCACTCAACTCAGCAGGTGGAAGCAGAAGAATCAGGAGTTCAAGGTTGTAGCTATACAGTGAGTTCCAGGCTACCTAGGCTACATATGACCCTTTCTTTAAAAAAACCCAAATGTTCCTAGACTCTGCTCTAGACAGCTGAGGCAAAAGGCAGAAATGTTCTTATGATTTATTTGTGGTTCAATAGGATTTTCTTTGTGTGTAATGTCTTATTTGTACAAAATAATGTTTTTGTGGTATTTTCATAGTACACTTTTTTTTTTTTTTTTTTTTTGGTGTTTTTGAGACAGGGTCTCCCTGTAGTCCCAGCTGTCCTGGAACTCTCTATGTAGACCAGGCTGGCCTTGAACTCACAGAGATCCACCTGCCTCTGCCTCCCGAGTGCTGGGATTAAAGGCATGCGCCACCACGCCTGGCCATAATACACTTTTTAAAAAAATTTATTATTTTTATTTTATGTGTATGAGTATATTGCCTGCATATGTGTAAGTGCACCCATGTCGTGCAATACCCATGGAAGTCAGAAGAGGGTGCCTGATCCCCTGAAACTGGAGTTATGGACAGTTGTTCGCCACGATGTGGGTGCTGGGAATCAACCTGGGCTCTCTGCAAGAGCAGCTAGTGCTCTTAAACAGCCGAGCCATCTCTCTAGCTCCCACAATTGTATACTTTTATAGTGATTTATTTCATCTTTAATTCTTTGGAATTTTTTTTAAGGTAGTGATTCCCATTCTTTTTCCAGATGAATATTCAGTTGTCCCAAATCATTTACCCAACTATTTCATCTTTTGGCTGGAGAGAAGGCTCAGTGGTTAAGAGCACTGGCTGCTCTTGCAAAAGACCCAGGTTCAAATCCCAGCACCAGTTCATAACTCCAGTTGTAGGGACTCCGACCCCCTCTGGCCTCCACAGGGACTGTGCAACATGGGTGTACTAGCATACATGCAATCAAAACATTCATATACATAAAATAAAAATAAATTAAAAATTCCATTTTTCCTAACTTAAATGCCATTTAAAAAATTTTTTTACATACTCCTCCCCCATTTTTGTTTTTCTGAGACAGAATCCAATACTGCACCCCCACACACTGGCTTGGACTACACATCAATACTCTTGCCTTAACTTCCCAAGTGCTGGGATTACAGGCATCTGATACCACATCAAACTTCTGCATTCCCTTTTATTTGGTTCCCCACCCAGTGTTACAAAATGAACTTAGGCCTTTGTGCCTGTTGGGTTCAAGAGTCCCTAGTCTTGACGGTAAATTTTTATTTATTTTTATAATATATA